ATCCCTTTTTCTTTCTTTTCTTCTTCTGGTACCCATATAATGCAGATATTGTTCCTTTTGGATTGGTCACACAGTTCTCTTAATATTGTTTCATGCCTGGAGATCCTTTTATCTCTCTCTGCATCAGCTTCTATGCGTTCCTGTTCTCTGGTTTCTATTCCATTAATGGCCTCTTGCATCCCATCCATACTGCTTTTAAGTCCTTCCAGAGATTGTTTTATTTCTGTAGTCTCCCTCTGTACTTGCTCCTTTACAGCTCCTTTAGCTGTATTTGCTTCTCTGCAGATCCATGAGCATGTTTATGATTTTCATTTTGAATTCTTTTTCAGGGAGACTGGTTAGGTCTATCTCCGCAGGTCCTCTCTCTAGGGTTGTCTGGACTATTTTGGACTGGACTAAATTCTTCTGCCTTTTCATGATGATAGTGGTGGCTGTAGGCAGGTAGCAGGTGTGTAAGCTGGGAGAAGAAAGTCCTTTCCTGTTTGCTGGACACCTTACCCTTCTCCACTGCCTGTGTTGATTACCTGCACTGCTGGAGGAGCCACTGAGTTAATCCCCTAAGCTACTGTGGGCGAGGTCTCCATCAGAGCAGCTCAGAGCCCTGCAGGGTGTGGCAGGCACACCGGGTGCACTCCACTGTGAAAGCAGTGCCCCTGCTTGGCAGCTGTGTGCTGGAAGTGGCCTTTGGGTCTGGCCTGGGCATTGTGCATCGGGCTGGGATTCTGGGCAACTGCTGGGGGCGCAGCTGCTCCTGGGCTGCTCCTCCACCGCTGCCACCAGCTCCCGCAGGCTGCTCCCAGGCCCCTCTGGTGCTGCCGCAGGTGCATGTGGGCCTCTCCTGTGCCCCTCTGGTGCCGCCATCACCAGCATGCACGGGCCACTCCCATGCTGCTCAATTGCCACAGGCTTGCGTGGGCCACTCCCTGGCCACTCAGTCGCTGCCACTGTGGGCTCGCACGGGACTCTCCTGGTCCCCTCTGGTGCCACAGCCGCCGGCATGCGCGAGCCAGTCCCAGGCTGCTTGGTCACGCGTGGGCCACTCCTGATCTCCTCTGGCGCTGCCACCTCTGGCAAGCACTCCCACTCTCCCGCTATTGGGTTGGTGTGTTGGGGTCTGCGCCAGTTGGGGAAACAACTGGCAGGCTGCTTATTGCTGTGAGGGGCTTCAGAGCTGTGCTGCCCAGGGGGTTAGGGTGCCTAAAGTTCCCCGGGATTCCCAGCTTCTGGCTAAGTGTGCTGGGATGACTTTGTCCAGCTCTTGGTCCCTGTCTCTTTAAGACTTGTAAAGAGCACTCTTCTTTTGTCTCAGGGGTGCTGGTTGCAGGGACCTGCCTGCAGGTTTTGCTTTTCCGTTTCTCTAATATCCAGCGCCCTGTGCACCATGTGTCTGCGTTCCGGGTGTGGATTTCTAGAGCTGGTTTAGCAGTCCTGGGCTTTCACTCCCTCCCCATTCTGACTCCTTTCTTCCCTCCAGGTTCTGGGGTGGTGGGGCCATTCAGGTCCCACTGGTCCGTGGCTTGTATCTTACCCCCTTCATGTGATGTTGAGTTCTCACAGATGTAGATGTAGCCTGGCTGTTGTACTGTATACACTGGTGTCGCTTTTAGGAATAGTTGTATTTATTGTATTTTCATAAATATGTATGTTTTGGGAAGGAGATTTCCACTGAACTACTCATGCTGCCATCTTGGCTGGGTATCCCGACTCTATTTCTTTTGATTGGTGCAGTCCATCCATTTACATTTAGGGTGATTATTGATAGGTATGTACTTATTGCCATTGTAGACTTTAGATTCATGGTTACTAAAGGTTCAAGGGTAAGTTCCTTACTATCTGTGTAATTTGACTCACTTAGTATACTATTACAAACACAATCTAAAGGTTCTTTTTTTCCTCCTTTTTCCTTCCTTCTCCATTCTTTATATATTAGGTTTCATATTCTGTACTCTTTTTCTATCCCTTGACTGACTTTTTGGGTGGTTGACTTGATTTTCCACCTGCTTATTAATTAATTGGTCTACTTTCTTTACTATGGTTTTATTTCTTCTGGTGATAGCTTTTTAGTCTTAGGAGCACTTCCTTCTATAGCAGTTCCTCTAAAATACACTGTAAAGATGGTTTGTGGGAGGTAAATTCTCTCAGCTTTTGCTTATCTGGAAATTGTTTAATCCCTCCTTCACATTTAAACAATAATCTTGCTGTGTAGAGTATTCTTGGTTCAAGGCCCTTATGCTTCATTGCATTAAATATATCATGTCACTCCCTTCTGGCCTGTAAGGTTTCTGTTGAGAAGTCTGATGATAGCTTGATGTATTTTCCTTTGTATATGATCTTTTTTCTCTCTGGCTGCTTTAATACTCTGTCTTTATCCTTGATCTTTGCCATTTCAATTATTATATGTCTTGGTGTTGTCCTCCTTGGGTCCCTTGTGTTGGGAGATCTGTGTACCTCAATGGCCTCCAGGAGGAAGAGATTATCTCCTTCCCCAAATTTTGGAAGTTTTCAGCAATTACCTCCTCAAAGACACTTTCTATCTTTTTTTCTCTCTTCTTCTTCTTCTGGTACCCCTATAATGTGAATATTGTTCTGTTGGGATTGGTCACACAGTTCTCTCAGTATTCTTTCATTCTTAGAGATCCTTTTTTCTCTCTGTGCCTCAGCTTCTTTGTATTCCTCTTCTCTAATTTCTATTCCATTTACTGTCTCTTCTACTACATCTAATCTGCTTTTAAATCCCTCCATTGTGTTTCATTTAAGATATTGTATTCCGTAATGATTGAATCTCAGTCCTGAATTCTTCCCTGAGTTCTTGAATATTTTTCTATACCTCCATGAGCATGTTTATGATTTTTATTTTGAAATCTCTTTCAGGGAAATTGATGAGTTCAGTTTTACTTTGTCCTTTTTCTGGTGTTTGTGGGATTTTGGTTTGAACGAGGTTCCTTTGACCTTTCATATTTGTAGGTGGCACCCTCTAGTGCCCAGAAGCTCTACTCTCTGGAGCTGCTCAGCCCCTGGAGCAATGGCAGGGGTCACAGGGTAGCAGCACTGGTGCCTGTTGGGATGAGTGAGGTCTTTCCTGCTTCGTGGCTGCAGTGCCTATCTCCACCACCAGGGCCAGTGGGCCAAGCATGCAAGGAAAATCCTCTGTGCTTTGTGCTTGTAAGTACCATAGGAAGCAAGGCAGGGGCAGCTGGTTTGCGAGCCAGTGCCAGCTGGGAGGAAGGCACAGCAGGCTGCGTATCATGGTGGGGGTGCTTCAGGGCTGCATAGCCAGCCAGGGTGATGGAGTGCCTTAAGCTCCTAAAGTTCCCAACCTACTGGGAAGAGTGCACCCATACAATTTTGTCCACCTGTCCTTTCTTCTGAGCAGCATCCTCTGTGCAATCCTTGCCCCTTTAGCAGTCCTCTTGCTGTTAGGAAGTCTCTCAGACTGCCTGCCTTTCTTTTGTCCCAGAGGGGCTGGATGTGAATCCCTGTTTTCCACAAACAGCTGGAATCTCAGTCTTTCCAAGTATTCTGCCTGTCTTAGCTTTCCAACCCCAGTAATCTCCAGAACACCATGTAATATAGGTTCATCATACTCCCAGAGCAGATTTCTGGAGCTGGGTGTTCAGTAGTCCTAGGCCTCCACCCCTTTTCTGCTCCATTTCTCTTCCTCCCTCTAGTGAGCTGGGGCGGGGGAAGGTCTTGTGTCCCTCCAGATCATGCCTTTGGTACATGACCCCTTTCCTTGAGGTCTGCTGGTTTCCCCAGGTGTAGACAATCTGCTACAGCCTTCTTCCCTGTTGCTCTTTCAGGATTTGATGTCTTTGTTATATTTTCATATTATATGTGGTTTTGGGAGGAGGTTTCTGCCTCATCTCTCTCGCCGCCATCTTTTCTGATTTCCTTTTCTTGTACTACTGCACTAGCTAGGATTTCCAGTATGACGGTGAGTAAGAATGGTGAGAGTGCACTTCTGCCTTGTTCCTGGTTGTAGGGGGAAGCATTTGGTCTTTTACCATTAAAAAAGTTATTTATCTATAATTGACAAATAAAAATGTGTTTATTTGAGGTGTATATGTATATAACATGATGTTTTGATATATGTATACATTCTGAAATGATTGCCACAAGGAAATTGACATATCCAGCACCTCCCAGATTTTCCTTTACTGGGTTGTAAGAACACTTTTGAACTACTCTCTTAGCAAATTTCAAGTATACATACCACTTTATTAACTAGGGTCACATGTATAACTAGGTCCCAAAACTTCATTATAAAACTGAAAATTTCTACCCTTTTATCAATATCTCCAGTTTTCAGCATAGAGATCCCATACATGTTTCATAAAATTTTACCTGAATTATTTCAGCTTCTTTGGAGTGATTGTTAATGGCATTGTGTTTTTAATGTGTTTTTGGATATTTATTTTTATTATATAGAAATGTGGTTGATCTTTGTGTGTTGACCTTGTTTCCTACAACCTTGCTAAACTCATTTTTTAGTTCTAAAGTTTTTTTCTACTCCTTGAGTTTTTCAATATTGACATTCATGTCACCTGAAAATAGAGACCCTTATTTTTTTCTTTCCATTTGTGTGCCTTTTATTTCTTTTCCTTGTACTTCACTTTAGATCTACTCTCTCAGCAAACTTCAAGTATACAATATGGTTTTACTAAGGAAAGTCACCATGTATACATTAGGTCTCCAAAACTTATTCATTATAAAACTGAAAGTTTGTATGCTTTGATCAATATCACCCCAACCCACTCTGCCTAGAATGATATTCACTATTCTACTCTCCATTACTACAACTTTGACTTATTTTTTTAAGATTCCATGTGTAAGTGAGATGAAGTGATATTTCCTCTCATGCATCTGGCTTAACTCACTTAGTATATTGTCCTCCAGGTTCTTCCATGTGGTTGGAAACAGTAGGATATCCTTCTTTCTCAAGGGTGAATAATATTCCACTGTACATATATATTTATACATATATGTATGCATGTGTATGTATATCGCATATCCTCTATCCATTCATCTGTCCACTTACACATAAAATAACTATTGATAGTAAGGTCTTGGCATTGGCACTTTGTTAATCCAAGTGTTTTATAGATCCTTTGTTCCTTCTTCCTCTCTATGATTTGGTGATGTTTTTTATAATGGTATTCTTTGATTCCTTTGTCTTTTACTTTTCAGTATCAACTATTTTTTTTCTTTTTCTCTGTGGTTACCATCAGGCTTACATAAAACATGTATAGATGTAGCAGTCTCTTTTAAGCAGTCTATATTTTATGCTGTTCTCATCCAAAAGCTCAATGCTTTTACTGCTTAACACCCATTTTATATTTATGATGTCACAATTTACATCATTCTTGTTGTGTACCCACTAGCAAATTGTTTTAGCTACAGTAATTTTTATTCTTTTGTATTTTAAAGTTTACATTGGAGTTATGTGATTTATACACCACCATTACAATATTACTTTATTTGGATTTGACTACATATTCACATTCCAGTTGTTTTATCCTGTCAAATGACTTCATATTATTAGTTAGTGTCCCTTATATCCAGCTTCAAGAACCTCCCTTTAGCAGTTATGATAAGGCATGTCTAGTGGTGATGAACTCTTTCTTTGTTTCTCTGGAAATGTCATTATCTTATGTCTCACTTATAAAGACTCTCACTTCTCCATGTAGAGTATTCTTGATTAGTAGTTTTTTCTTTTAGCATTATGAATCCCACTATCCCCTGGCTTTCAAGCTTTCTGCTGAGAAATCCACTTACAGCTTTACGAGCATTCTGTTGTATGTGATAATCTTCTTTTCCTCTGCTGCTATTTGTCTTTGATTTTTGACAGTTTTATTATAATGTGTTTTCATGAATTCTTTTTGGATTAAACCTCATTGGGGGCCATTGAGCTGCATATATTATGAAAACCATATAGTCACCACAGTTTGTGAAGTTTTTGTCTATTATTTCTTTAAATAGTCATTCTGCCCCTTTCTGTCTTCTAGGATTCCAATAATATGAATATTATTTCACTTAGTGGTATCCCATAAACATGGAGGCTTTCTTCATTCCTTTTTATTTTTTTCCCCTACTCTGACTGGATAATTTCAAATGACCTGTCTTCAAATTCACTGATTCTTCTGCTTAAATGAGTCTTCTTTTATAATTCTCTTGCATTTTTAGTTCAGTCATCATATTCTTCAGCTTCAAATTATCTTTTTTATGTTTTACTTCTCCTTGTTGAACTTCTCATTTAGTTTTTGTAATTTCATTATAATTTTGTTAAATTTGTGAGTCCTAAAAATTTGTTCTTTTTTAATTCTACATTATTTTGACTATTCTGGGTACCTTATAATTCCATTTGAATTTTAAATTCAGCTTGTCAATTTCTATAAAGAACTCAGTTAGAGTTCTAATAGGGAATGTGTTAATCCATAGATTGATTTGTGCAGTATTGTCATCTTGACAGTTTTAAGTTTTCTGATCCATGAATTTGGGATGTTTTCATTTACTTAGATGTTTAATTTATTTCGACAATGTTTTGTAGTTTTAAGAGTATAAGTTTTGCACTTCTTTTGCTAAAATGATTCCTACATATTCAATTATTTTTTATCTTATTTAATTAGAGTTATTTTCTTAAATTTACTTTTGGACCACTTTTTGCAGTATACATAAGTACAATTGATTTTGTATTTTGATCTTGTATGCTGAAACACTGTTAAACTTCTTTTTAAATTCTAATAGATATTTAGGGGATACCTTGGGATTGTCTATGTAAAATATTTTATTAGGTAATATAATTCTACTTATTAATTTCTTATATGGATACCTTTTTTTCTTCCCTAATTCCCCTGACTATATTCTCTAGTCCAATGTTGAATAGAAGTGCTAAGAGACACATTCTAGTTTTGTTTCTAAATTTAGTGGAAAGCATGCAGTCTTTCACTATTAAATATGGTGGGTTTTTCCTAGGTATCCTTAATTAGGTTGAAGAAATTCCCTTTTATAACTAGCTTGTTGTTTGTTTTTATCACAAAAGGGTGTTGGATTTTGTCAAATGATTTTCTGCAGTTTTGAGATGGCCATGAGGTTTTTGTTTTTATTGTATTGATATTACACAACCTTGAATTCCTGGGGTAAACTCCACTTGGTTATGGTGTCTACTTCCTTTTATATGTTGTTGGATTCAGTTTGCTAGTATTTTGCTGAGGATTTGTGCATCCATGTTCATAAGATATGTCTGTCTGTAGCTTTCTATTCCTGTGATAGTTTTGTCTGATTTTAGTATCATGGTAATACTGGCTTCACAGATTGAGCTTGAAAGTGTTCCCTTTTCTATTTTTGGAAGAGTTTGTAAAAAATTTGGTGTTAATTCTTCTTTAAATATTTGATAGAATTCATCATTGAAAGCTTCTGGAGCTGACTTTTTTTGGTGTGTGGGTAGTTTCTTGATTACTAACTCAATAATTTACTTGTCTATTCAAGATGGCCTTTTTCTTTTTGAGTCATTTCTAGGAATTTTTTTATTCCTCTAAGTTATTTGATTTACTTGTGTACAGTTGTTCATTGTATTCCTTTACAGTCCTTTTCATTTTTTTATGTCAGTAATACTCTCCCCTCTTTCATTTCTAATGTTACTAATTTGAATCTTCTCTCACTTTTTCTTGGACAATCTAGCTAAAGGTCTTTTAAAAGAATCAGCTTTTGGCATCATTTATTTTCACTATTATCTTTATTCTCTATTTCTTTAGTCTCTGCTCTCATGTTTCTTGTTTCCTTCTGCTTTACCTTTAGTTCACTTTGTTTTTTTTCCAGTGTGTTAAGGGAAAGGTTAGGTAATTGATATGAGATCTTTGTTCTTTTTAAATGTAACTATTTATAGCCATAAACTTCTTTGTGATCACTGCTTTTGCTACACCCATAAGTTTTAATACATCCTGTTTTCATTTTTATTAATCTCAAAGTAATTCCTAAGTGCCCTGTGATTTCTTCTTTGACAGACTGGCTCCTTAGGAGAGTATTATTTTAATTTCTACATTTCCAATTTTCTTTGTGCTTTGATTTCTAATTTCATTCCATTGTGGTCGACAGGCATACATGTTATTATTTGCATTGTGAGTACAGTTTTTTGAAGAGCACGGTTAAAGTGTATGAGTATGGTTGTGGTTTAACCAAACAGACTCTGGAGTCAATAGATAAAAGGCTAATAGGTCAAGGAATTTAATCCTGTTCCTTTAGTCACTCAAAAAATGCAGTAGGGGACACTGATCTCACTGCTGTAGTGAGGGGACCTATGTTTGGGCTCACTTTGTTCAGCTGTTGGCTTGGAAGTCTAAGCAGAAGTCATACAGGGAATGGCTCCTGGTTGAGAAGCCTGGTGATTTTACTCTTCCAATTGGTATAGAAAATTATATTGCAGGTAAATTATGCATTTTCACTGTGCTTCCCCTCCCTCCACCATACAGTACTATTTCCATTCCTTGGCCCTATCTTTGAGGTATTAAATACCTCACATTTTTAAAAAGTGTCACTAATTTTTTTCACAAAATCTATGAAATGGATGAAATAATGTCACCTCAAAGATATACAAAAGATAAAAGCTGGTGACAGTTACATGGGGGTGTTTACTTTTTGATAAAGTGTTCAACTGTATACTTTTGGCATGTGTACATTGCACATAATTTTAAGGTTGCTAGAGAACTCTAGGGTTTAGGACAGAAGAGTTCTAACATTTTGGTAGGAATGAAGAAGGTGGACTTGGGGAAAGACATAAGAAAATGAGTCAGAGAGACAATGTTTAAATTTTATGTAGGCATGACAGTATGTCACTGCATGAATATCACAGGGATGAAAAATTTACCACTTTTCTTCAATAACTTGTCAAAGGATAAAAATTAACATTTAAAGATCATTTTACTATTCTCATAATTTCCCCAAATCTTAGATTGGCAAAGAATCACTTCAATTTCAAGCCTCTTATTTTACACATTTTCTAATGGAAGCCCTATCAGGCTACCTAGTGGAGTATAGTATGTTAAATTTGATCCCATCGTGATCTGGACATGGCCAGGAGTCTTCTTTGGACATTGAGGCTGCAGGCCGGCTAACACAGCTTTGCCTTCATGAGGCCTGGACACCAGTACAAGGATGTCTGCAGGCCAGGAGACAGGGCTGGGTACCCAGGGTGGCATTGTAGGTTGTGTAGAATTCTGGGAGGGTTGAGGCACTTCAAGAATCTCACCCAGAAGCTGCTGATGAACTCTGCAAAGGACACAGGTTAATCTGTGTGGCTCTACATTAAGAAGTAAGGCTGAAGAAAATTAAAAGGATTGAAATCAGGACTTCATCCTGAGCAGGAGGACAGATGGGTAAGGTGCAGGCACCTCTATGGACAGGAAGCTATGTTCAAAATCCAAAGAGACTGAGAATCAGAGAAGGTGAGAACTGAAAAGCAGTTGGACAGGATGGCTGGATTCCTCTCAGGGAAACATCCTGCTCTGCAAGATTTATAGCTATATATTTTTGTTCAATGGTGACCCCAGTCAGACTCTGGACTTGAAGGGCCATATTTTCAGGAAAGACGTTAAGTACTAACTGATTTCTGACTTCACAAGTGACTTTCTGTCATTGAGATTTCTCTTTCTGCTTCTAGCATTGAGTGGATGTTCTTCAGCTGATGACTAGCTCCCAGAATTTCAAAGAAAAGGATGGTCATAAATGTAACCAAAGAGTCCTTCAGAGGACCTGCACTGGGGAAACTCAAAGGTAGGGGTGGTTCTGAAGACATGCAGGATGTTTTCCAGGCAGATGAAAATTTCTGCCACATTGCAGAAAGACACCTGTTCAGATTTAACTGGTAGCCAGAGGCACATTCTAGAATCTTGAAGGCACAACATTGTAGAAGGCTTGGAAACAATCACAAACAAATATTTCATGCCCAGATGTCCATCTGTGGTCTGTGGATCACCTACATCAGGACTTTGATGGAACCTCTTTCCGATGTCAATTCTCAGGTCTCATCCAGACCTGCTGAATCAGAACTTCTCCCTGGAACTTTGCATCAAGACCTCATCACATCAGGAGACATATTGCCCTGGATTGGTGACCTCTAGAACTTAGATCAGGAGAGTTTGAACATTTTTCAGGGAATAATCAGTTGGAGGTAAGGGAAAGAAAGAAGAAAATGAGTCAGAGAGACAATGTTTAATAATATGCATGACTTGGAACACTTCATTAAAGTTGTGTTCACTAGCTTAATCTATAAAGTTTTATTTTTTCCTTTTTAATTAAAAGTGTGGTGGAAGACTTTGAGTCTGAGTAAGTATTCTTTTCCTCTTCAGACTTTCACTGTCTAGTTTTATCACTCACGGATGGTTTTTTACATAAACATCATTGCTGTGGTGGTTGTAAAAGATAACCTTCAAATTTCATCATTTCTTCTACATTTATTAGTTTATGTTCCATTGTCAGGGAGAGCTTTCCATTCTCTCCCATTTACTTACTAGCTTGTTTATTTTTGTCAGAATGATCTCATAAATTAAGAATTTATTCTCTTATATCATTCTTTATTTTGATTCTCAAATTCTCTCAGGTTTGTCCACCCTTTCAGGTGGGCTCTAATGTCATTGTTTTTCTTCTTCATTTTCAAGTTTTTTATTTTATCAGTACATTTTTTTTACAGCAGTTCCTGGTTCACAGCAAAATTAAGCTGAAGGTATAGGTATTTCCAGTATACTTAGACCCACTACAGCCTCTGTCACTATCAAAATCCCTCACAGGAAGAGTGCATTTGTTATAGTCAATCACCCAAAGTCCATAGCTTACCTTAGTGTTTACTCTAGGAGTTTTGAGGTATGTATAATGATATGTATCTCACATTGTAGTATAGAGAGTATCTTGTTCCTTTTCACATATCATTTTTTGGGTTGTTCCTTGCTTTTTGGTGGGAGACATTCCAGGTTTCTCTTCTATTTTCTCTGATCAGCCCTATAATCAACATTTAGAGCTGTGCTTTCAGTATCTTAGCCACTAGCCAGATGTGGAGCTTTGTGAGAAATGGTATTTAGAAATGGCATTTAGAAACCAAAATCTGGATGTAAGAGTGCTCATTGTTATTAGGGTTTCTTTGATTCTAGATCCTCTCAGTGCACAAACCTAAGAACATCAAATATATTATATAGGACTGAAAAACATAAATATTTGCACATCTGCTTATAACCATTGATGTAAACATGCTGTCTCTCAACAACAAGAGAGGCTTTATGTATAATTTACTTACATGACATAAATACTCTCATCATGGTTAATCTCAAGCCATCTCACCAAATTCCTGAAAATCTAATAGTTGATTTTAGAAAGTATGACTCTATCACACCACTAAAATATGTCTGTATTTATGTCTACATCTACTTCTATGTATCTACCAATCTGTCTATCCATATGATCCAAAACAAAGTTTTATGATGAAGGAAATATTCTATATTACTCTTTTCATTACAATAATCACTAGACACAAATGGCTGTTGGGCACTTGATGTGTTGCTAGTGTCACTAAATAACTGAAACTTATACTGTATTTAATTTTAATAAAATTTTAAATAGCCACATCTGGGTAGCGGCTAACATATTGACAACAGAGCTTTAGTAATTTTAAGTACCATGTGGCTCATGCAAACCCCATGGTGGAAAGAATTTGCTAGAGGAATTTACCCATAACAGCACCACAGAAACCATCTTTATGAAATCAGAACTCTGTAGACATTTCTTACACTGTTTTATGCAGGGGTCATGTTCATTTCAAAGCTCTAAGTACCTAAAGGTCCTAATCTCTTTTCAGTCAAATAGGTTAGAGCCTGACCATGCTCAGTTTCTTGCAGGAGAAAATCAAAAGGGAGATCAACTTATATTCACAAGGGCTGTTTTCTGACCATAAGATAGAAAAGAGTGAGGACATGTACTAAGGAAGACATTCAGGCCACGATTGAATTAACACTGTTAACTCAACTCACTGCATCATATATTTCTATATTTCAGCTGGCCAATCACTTACATTGACACACTCTATCTTCAGAAATTTTAATATCATTGTTTACTGTATTGTCAGTCACCACTCTTCTAGATTTTTATCTATGTCCCTGGTTTCTATAAATATCTGAGAACATCCATTTGAAGACTTAAGCCCCAGGACTTCTATTGCTTGATGACACACAAAGATGTAATTCATGCTTTACAAGCTGAGTTGTGCACACTAATCAGCACATCTCCTGAAAGTTCATATTTTGGTTCAGTAATTTAGGAAGAGTTTTGAGATTTTCCACTTCTAGTAAGCTCTTGGGTGCTTTTGGTCCATGGACCACAGTTTGAGTAGCAAAAGTTTATATATAGCCTAATATTGTTATCTAAATTCCCCCAAAACATGTTTAAATGAAAGATCCTTTACTTTTTCCTACAGTTAAGCCATATATTATCAACTCTCTCAAAATATTTCAAGCTATCCTTGAGTTAAAATTATTTAAGTTTTTTCCTCAGGGACAATGCTACCCCATATTCCTTCTAGCTACAGTACATTTAGGATTCTCCAAGGGATATACTGATAGCGTTGTGCATTTGAGAGAAATGCTATCTCATGAAATTAGTCAGTTATGTGGGTGGGGATGGTGTCATAACCAAGAGCAGATGCCAACAATAGTATAGACCTTACGAAAAACTGGACCAAGACCATTTTTGCCTTTTTCTGGCTCTGAAAGATAAACATAAGAGGGCATGCCACTTCCAGTTGGACTCTGAATTGTTTTTCCATTTCCCCCCTATGTATTTGGGAGTTTCATTTTGATTTCCCCTCATCTAAACTGTGATGTTTTCCATTCTCATGCTTTTCCTAAAATGTCTTTCCTCCTCTTATCTGCTATGGAGCTGTGCACCAATGTTACCTTGTTTGTGGCTGGCTACGAAAGCACCAGCAGGGCTTTTTCCTTCCTTATATATGTATTTGCCACTCCCCATGATGTCCAGTAGATACTGCAGGAGGATATTGATGTAACTTTCCCAAATAAGGTGAGAGGGTAATACCCACAGAAGGTGGGAGAAGGTTAAACTTTAGGAAGAAGGCTTCCTTACTGAGGATTTTTGCAAAATGTAGAGGCATCAATTCTTATACCTGCACATTTAGGAAGGATCTATGGAGAGAAAACAAAGGAGAAACATAGGTAATATATACTATTTTCAAAAATAAAAGATCTTTGAAAAAAGTACTCATTCTGGTATATAGTTATCTGTTACCACAATAGTGCCAAATAAAAAACCACAAAATGTTAGTGGCACCTAAGAGTAAGCATTTATTTCTCAAGTGTCTGGATAATTATCTCTGTTGATACATGCTTCACCTGCCTTCATCAGGCTGTTGGCTGGTCTAGGCTGGCCTTGGCTAGGCTGGCTGGACTGACTCAGCCCCACATCCATGGATCCATGCATCTCTCCTATTCCAGAAAACTAGCCTGGGTGTGTTCTTCTTGGGACAGTAACATAGAACAAGAGAAAGAGCAAGAACAAGAAGCCCAATCTATGGGTGCCCTTCAAAACTCTGCTTGGTCAACATGCCATTGCTTCAAAGAAGGCCACATGGCCAACCCGAGAGTCATAATGGGAGAGAATCACATTAGATGGCAAAGGGCACAGACTTAAGAGGGGTGGGGGAACTGGGACCATTTGGGCAATTACCAACACTGAGTAACTTTGCAGTATACAGGAAAGAGCATCAGGTAGGAAATAGAAGACATAAATTCTAGTCCAGACTCTGGTTTTCACCTTCCTAAGGTGGTAACTTCAATAGGTCCTTCAAATATAAAGGTACATTTTATGACCTACCTATATTAGAGATGATATTTTGTCTGTGGGAAAGCCCAAATTGGGATCCTTTTGATTGGTACTACAAGACACAGCCTAACTAAAGTACTGTGTACTCCTCTTTTTAAAGTAATAATTACAATGTCAGCAATCACATATAGCTAACATTTGCTTCCTACTATATTTATCTCTTCTAAATGCTTCATACTTATAAATGAACTCAATCTTGCTAAAATTCTGTATTAAGGTAGGCCAGGTTATATGCCTCAGGAACAGACTAGCCCTCAAATCTCAGTGGCTTTACAAAGCAGAGATCTGCTTCTAACTCATATTTATTTGTCCAAAATGGATTTTAGATGGAGGGTGGGGGTGTGAGTCTCTGCTCCACATAGTTGCTCAGGGATTCAGGCTAAAGAGGCTCCACTTTCTTATAGCATTACTCTCTGGAATATGAAGCCTTCATGGTGGTTGGGGAATAAAGACCAAGAGTGGTGTTCACTGGTTTTTCAAATGTTTTGACTCCCCAAACTGGCATACATCCTCTTGGTTCACAGCCCATTTTCAAGCTCATGTCCCCTAACTTCAGGGTTGCTGTGGAAAGTGGGGGACAACATGGATTTTGGGTGAGCAGTGAATGTCTCTGCCACACAACCCTTTGAAGATCAACTCCAATTATCTGCTTATAGCATGAATGAAAACTGAGCTTCAGAGAGGTGCACCCTTCTACACTACTGGTGAGGAATCCAAGCTATGGACAAGGGTGTCTGGCTCCAAAACTAAACATGTAACCTCTATAATGTTGCCCATGAAATATAACACCAAATGATAGCCATGTATTGCCCATGCTATTGTTGGATGTCTCTCTGCCCAAACCAGAATTCTTTGTGGTGTGAGGAGACTTGGCCTCTGGGGCTCAGTTGGCTTGTCTGAGACCTTCAGAATTTATGGTCAAACCCAGAAGTGACAACTGGGAGATTATTTCAGCAACAGAGGAAGGGGCTCTGAGTGGGGTTCCAAACCTCTTTATAACATCCTAGAGCTGAAATTGTGTGCCTGGTAGCATCCATTCATACTCTTCATTTGTCATATTAGGTATCAAAAGGAAGTAATTTCTTCCCAAATTATTTTCAGAGATTTTATAGAGTGTTTATCTCCAAATTCTATACATACAATCAGAGAATTAGCTATCTAAGTAGGATTTTTCCACTGAAAAGTTTATGTTGAATAGGAGATTTGCTGTTTTACATGTTCTCTCTCCTTGGCACAGATGTGCAAGCTCCCTTGTGAAAGGAAAGAGTGACATTGGCATATTTGATTTAACAGTTAGGGCCATACTCTTGAGCCACTTTGTCCAAATGAGAAATAGAAACCATGACATGGTAACCGGAGGGGTTTCAGGGCCTGTTTAGGGATTGTCCCAGTGGTCTCCTGTTGTCCTGGCTACTCTGCACATCTAATGGGCTACTGAGCAGTCAAAGGACATGATAGATATTACAATTTATAGAAATGCAAAGGTCCTTAACCAAAATTAATTATTCCTTTTAGTTCTTAAAGCTCCAACAGTACTGCCTAGACTTAATTGAAAGTTGATCCCAAATATCAGTTTCCCTAAATTTGTTTCTTTCTTCCCAGATACTACCTTCCTATGATGCCCTGGTGCAGATGGAGTACCTTGACATGGTGGTGAATGAATCTCTCAGATTATTCCCAGTTGCTGGTAGACTTGAGCGACTCTGTAAGAAAGATGTGGAGATCAAGGGGGTGCTCATTCCCAAGGGGACAGTGGTGATGGTGCCCATCTTTGTTCTTCATCAAGACCCAGAGCTCTGGCCAGAACCTGAGGAGTTCCGCCCTGAAAGGTACAGGGCCCCAGGAGAGGGAACCCACCCTGGTCTGGGCTGGTTGGAGCATATTCTGACACCTCTAAGAATAGGTGACAGACATGTAGGTGTACGATCATTAATTTGTACATATTTTTAACTTTATAATTTTTTATTACAAGAGTGACCATTTTGTATTGTCAAAATTTTATACACCACAGGATAGAAAATTATAGCCATAGACAGTTCCATGCCTTAACAGTTCTCATTAATAATGTGATGTATGATTTTCAGGACATTTTTCTATGCATAACTATAGTTAAAAATTGGAATGGTATTAAACCCCATTTGTTTTTCCACTCTTACTTTATTTAACACTGAACTATAAAGAACATCCTATATGTGGGTGCAACTGTATGCATATGCCATAATTAACTTAACCACTATCTAATTTTAAATTCTAGGATTTTTTTCCTTTCAGTTTTTCTGTGCTTTTCTCTTTAGCTTTCTGCCTTACCACCACCATTCCCATATCCCATGTTTTTAAACATTGGCTGCCATTTGCTCTTGAGTTACTGCAGAGAGCAGCTGAAGACCTGCAGAAACTGCTCCCTGCTGGGTAAGCAGCTTCATGAGGGTGGAGGTGGGCACAGGTTCCTGGTACTGCCCATGGCTGCAGAACCATGCCAGCTCCCTCCTCTTTGGTATGGCGTGACTCTTCCAAAATGAAGCATATGCTCCTCAGACACTGAGACATCCTCCCTGGACAGGCCTTGAGCTTGCTCTCCTGAGAACGCAAAACCAATGTCTACTAGGGGCACAGGTTGAGTTCTGCCCAGAGTTGATGCTTTCCTACATCTTGGGTTGGTGAGCAGAATTTGGAATGACCTCTGGGGCACTACTTAGGATGTAAGCTTTTAGGCCCCTGACTAGAAGCCCCTGGGTAGTGGGACATTATCTTGATTGCAAGGTTTCCCCAGTTCTAGGGTAGTGTCTACACATAGTACTTGCTGAAAGACAATGTTAGAGTAGAGCAGCCCTATTTCCTCTGGATCAGGGAACCTCTGTGCTTCCACCAAGCTCATCACTTCCCCATCCTGCATCTTCACAACCACAAATCAGAGACCACTTGCTGTCCTCCTTGATTTATCCAGGCATCAAACAGAGTAAGTGCTTACCTTTGTGTGTCAGGGATCAGGCCAGGCAGTGAGAACCTAAGGGTCAAAAAGTGCCTATTATGGGGGGTTTGGCTCAAGTATATTTGTATCTGACACATACGCAAGCATTTCCCTAGACATGCCTATGGAGTACTTTCAATGAATCTGTTTGAGTGCACTGACTGCCTGGCCACCATCAACCCATGTCAGCCACCCCATCAACACACCACTGCTATTCTCCTAGTTCCCATAGTATTTGAAGGCACATCATTTGTATCTATTCCAGAACATTCTCTGAATAATAATGACTCTTTAAATAATAAATAACTACAATGCCATTATCACTTTCCCCATATCCACATTTTTCCTTTAAGTAATCAGATATGGAGGAGTGAGATTTGAATAACGCATGGGTCTAACCTTGGAGGAATGTGAAGCTAGTGCAACAGGCAGACAAGGAGATCAGGGATTGTACTGCAGCAGAGCAGAGCCTGCTGCCCACGGGAATCACCTGACTTTAGCAGGTCTGTGGGAGAGGGAGCAGAGGAGGAGCAGGGGGGGGCAGGAAGGGGAGAGAAGGGGAAATACCACCTGCAGTAGTTGGAGGCCTGTCTCCTGCTCCATCCTCTGTGAGCATCTGGCCAGGTAAGTGGTGGGGGGGAGGTAGGAAGCCCCTCTTCCTTCAGTCAGCCTCATTTCCTACTTGCCTTTGAGTGAGAGCACCTACCCACTCTGAATGTAATTTTAGTGTTCAAACATGAATTTCCTTAAACAGCACTCATCTCATCTCCTGAATGAGACTGAAAGCTCCTACAGGGCAAAGGGGACATGAGGAGCTGTTGTTTGGGCTCCCACACCAAGTACCTGTGGTGGGACTTCCTGACTCACCCACAGTGTGGTCCTGTGCGCTCCTGGCTGAGGAGCTTAGTGAGAACCCACTGTGGACCTTTGTGGTTCTTGTTTCATTAACTTGTTTTCATCTACTATTGTGGATGCAGGTTCAGTAAGAAGAATAAGGATGGCATAAATACATACACATATCTGTCTTTTGGAGCCAGACCCTGAAACTTCACTGAAATGAGGTTCACTCTCCTGAACTTGAAACTTGTTATTATCAAAGTCCTGCAGAACTTCTCCTTCAAACCTTGTAAAGAAACACAGATCAGACAGATAACTTTCTGGATGTTTAGTGGGAGTTTTTTAAACTAAAAAATATATGTATATATGTGTAGAAACGAATGTGAATAGAACAGAGAATCTATTTGGAGCCATGTATGACCTCTGGGGGTCCTCAGCTATGGAGCACTAAGTGTGTGGCTTTATCAAGACCCAATCGTAATGGTTGCCTACAGCCTGTGAGGTTACCATGATGTGGTTATGCACAGACCTTTGAATGTGGACAAAGTTTAAATTCAGCTTCCAGGGCACTAGAAGGAAGGGTGTGTGGGCACAGTCATGCATTTAATATGTTGGCCCTCAGGAAGAGGAGGAGGATGGTTTCCTTGTTGTTTATGGCTTTAGTGCAGTTGTGTGGCTGTCCTATAAGTATGTACAAAAAGAACCCTGGGCCTGAGAGCAGCCTGGGATGGGCAGGATCTCCTATAAGCTCCTGGCATGCATAGCTGGGTGCTTCTCACCCTTCAGGACAGTGTGCTTGCCCTGAAGTCACTGAGATTAGAAGATGATTCTGCTGGGGAGTGATAGGGACTTAGGGGCTCAACCTGTCACTCCAAACCCTGAAGGTCTTCTCAAGTTCACTACTTGTTCTACACTTGGGAAACAACAGATGTTAGAAAACAGGAGTAGTGCCTCCCAAGACATCAGCCATGAACTGGATGTTACCACTGGGTGAGGTGATGGGATACCTTAGAAGTGAGGATGGTCCTGCCATGTGTTGTACCCACACAGGATCACATCTCAGGTTTCAAAATACACAAAATCAACTTGATGTGGCTTTTCAGAATTGCTTGCCCTAATGCCTAAGAATGTGGTTTATGTTTTAAAAACTCATCTTTACTTTAACTTTAAATCAAAACAGATCACAAGGCAACATGAGTATGTCTCTGTCCTGGTACATAGCAGCTGCCCCATAGATAATTTGTTGAATGAATGACAGATGAGCTTCCAGCTCACAGAATAAGTGCAGAGAATTACAGCAGGGAGGGGGCTGGGGAACGTGGTCCTGTTGTAAGATACATAAGTGCTGAGGTTGTCACACACAACATGGTGATAATTCACTGCCACTGCCACATGGCGCATATGAAGGGTGTGAAGAGAGGAGATACTAAGAATTCTCATTGCAAGGAAAAAAAATTTCTTTTTCTTCTTTTGGTATCAACATGAGATTATGTTAACTAAACTAGTAGTGACAATAATTTCTTGATTTATGTAAGTCAAATCATAATGTTGTATGCCTTAAATTTGCACACTGCTGTATGTCAATATCTCAAAAGTGGAAAAAATTTTTAAAGTGAAAATAAGGGAATACTGTGAAGAACTTTATGTCCATACATTTTATAACAGAAATTAAATAGACCAATTCCTTGAAAGAAGCAAGTATTAAAATTCATTCAAGGAAAAATAGGTAACCTGACTGTCCCTATATCTTTGAAAGATATTGACTGATAGTTTTTAAAAAAAGAATCAACTTCTGGAAAAAGATGGCAGAGTAGGATGGCAAGGCGGAAACCACCTCCCAGAAACACGTAAGAGAAGAACATACAGCAAATACAACTAAACCTGAAAATGACTTGAATACTACAGAACAGACCCCCTACACATGAGGAAGAAGGTAAGACAGCACAGAAAAGGGTTAAGTGGCAGAGTTATGATAGAGCAGGACCCAAGTCCTCCCATCCCAGCCTACAGGCAGGAGAAATGAATGGAGCAGGGGGTGAGGGGGGCTGGGGGGTGTAGGTAGGAATCCAGGATTGCAAAATACCTAGCCCTGGAGTTCTTCTCTGGGAGCATGAGCCCACATTACATGGGTTCTGGTGATTAGTGGTGCTGGAAAGCAGGGACAACTGGAACACTCTGGGAAACAGACTCCACCCATTATAGAAGACAGGCATGCCAGTTGAGATCCAAAGCAGAAGTGGCAGTTTGAAAGACTTGCCAGCAGTGGGAGGGGGGCCAGAAGGTTAAGGGTTGGATTGAATGGTCTCCTGAGAAGAAAGGGCAGGTGGAGGATACTTCCCCAGCCCTTCCTATGCCCAACAGATCAGGAACTCTTGGAAGCCCCAGATGCTTCATCCCCGTAGCTGGCAATGCAGCCCTGAGGCTCCTCCATGTGCACACTGCTGACCAAACCACTCAGCTCAGCAGCAGTGTTAGACTTTGCCACCTGGCAGGCAGAGGGGAGACTCTCCCAGCTTCCTCAGCTCCATTTCAGCTCAATCAGGGAGGTGCCCACAGGAGCCTGCCCCAAGAGCTCCTTCCTTCCTGTGGGTGTCCAAGCCTGGTGCTGTGTATCCAGCCCAGACAGAGCTGTATATCAGCTTGCCTACTGTATTATCCCTGCAGCCCCTCTATTGCTGCAGGCCAGGCAGAGGGTGGCCTTTCCCACAGCAAGCTCAACAGAGATTCCTGAGTTGATCAAAAAGGCAGCAGCTGAAGCAAACTGCCAACACTGACAGAAAGATGTCCCCCCCCCACCACACTGTATGCCAATCCGGGGTCCCTGCAAAATAAAATCAGGCACTAGAGAGTAAAGAATCTCGAGCTTCTGGGCACCATAGGATGCCCTCTTCATAAAGCTATTATTCCATAGGACAGGAAGCATAACAGAGCCATCTAATATAAAGGAAGAAACACAGAAACCCTGATAAAATGAGTAGGCAGATGACTATGTTCCAAACAAAACTGCAGGACAGGACCCCAGAAGGAAGGCTAAATGAAATGGAGATCACCAATCTTTCTGATAAAGATTTCAAAATTAAAGTCATAAACATGCTCTTGCATTTACAGAAAAGTATTCAAGATCTCAGGGAGGACTTCAACAAAGAGAAGACATGAAAAAGAGCCACTCGGATCTGGAGAATGCAGTGTCTGAAATTAAACATACAATGGAGAGATTTAAGAGTAGATTAGTACAGTTAGAGGATATGGTGAATGAGATGGAAATTAGAGAACAGGAATTAATAAGAGAGCTGGTGACCAATCCAAATGAAATATTATTCACATAATAGAGGTACCAGGAAGTGAAGAGAGAAAGAAAGGGATAGAAAATGTCTCCAAGGAAATAACTGTTGAAAACCTCCCCAATCTGGGGAAGGAAATAGACACTCAGGCCATGGAAGTGTAGAGATCTCCTAACAAAAGGATTCCCAGGAAGACAACAACAAGACCTATGATAATTAAAATGGCAAAGATCAAGGATAAGGAGAGAGTGTTGAAAGCAGCCAGTGAGAGGAAAAGGATTACTTATAAAGCAATGGCTATCAGCAGACTTCTCAGCAGAAACTCTACAGTCTAGAAGGGAGTGTCATGATATATTTAATACACTGAAACAGAAGGACCTCCAACCAAGAATTCTCTACCTGGCAAGATTATCATTTAAATTTGAAGCAGGGACTAAACAGTTTCCAGATTAAATTTGAAGGAATTCACCACCACTAAGCCAGCCCTACAGGATATGTTAAAAGGGACTATTGTAGATGGAAATGTACCTAAGGCTAGATAGTTTTCACCAGTGAAAATAATCCCACAATAAAGGTAGTAGACCAACTAATTACCAAGCAAGTACAAAATTAAAACAGAAAAAAATCAGCTATACTTAAAATCAGTCAAGGGATACACCATGCAGATTATGACATCTACAATGAAAAATGTGGAGGAGGAAGAATAAGGAAAAAAGTACCTTTAGATTGTGTTTGAAATAGGGCAATCAGCAATTTATGATAAACTACTGTATAGTAAGGAAGGTATTCTTGAATTTTTGGTAACCAAAAAACTAAAGTCTGCAATAAATACACAAAAATAAATAAATACACAAACAAACAGAGAAATCCAATTGCAACAGTAAAGAAAACCATAAAAAACAAGAGTATAAGAGAGGAAGAAAGGGACAGAAACTACAAAAACAACCAGAAAACAATTAATAAAATGGCAATAAATATATAGCTATCAATAATCATTATGAATGAGTATGCACCCAACATAGGAGTACCTAAATATGTAAAACAAATACTAACATAATTAAAGGGGGAAATAGGTCAACCAGACAGAAAATAAATAGGGAAACAGAGGCACTGAACAATACATTAGAATAGATGAAGTTAACAGGTATCTATAGAACACTCCACACATTTTCCTCAAGTGCACCTGGAACATTCTCCAGAACAGATCACATACTAGGCCACAAGAAAAGCCTCAATAAATTCAAAAGATTGAAATTGTATCAAGCAGCTTCTTAGACCACAATGGTATGAAACTAGAAAGAAATTACACAAAACAAAAAAGCTTATAAACACATGGAGGGCTAAATAACATGCTTCTAAGTAATCTGGATCAATGAACAAATTAAAATGGATATCAAGCAATTCGTGGAGACAAAGAAAACAAAACCACAACAGCCCAGAGTTTGTGGGAGGTGGCAAAGGCAGTTCTAAGAGGAAAGTACATAGCAACATATGCTTACCTCAAGAAACAAGAACAATCCCATATAAACAGTCTAAAATCACAAAGAAACTAGAAAAAGAAGAACAAATGAAACTCAAAGGTAGTAGATGGAGGGACATAACAAACATCACAGCAGAAATAATAAAACAGAAAAGAATGAAACAGTAGAAAAAATTGATGAAACCAGGAGCTGGTTCTTTGAGAAAATAAACAAAATAGATTATAGCCCTAGCTAGACATATCAAGGAAAAAACAGTGTACACACATAGACAGAATCTGAAATGAAAGGAATAATCACAACAGCACAGCAATACAATGAATTATTAGAGAATACTATGAAATATTATATGCCAATAACTGGACAACCTAAAAGAAATAGGCAAAACTGCCTAGAAAAATACAACCTTCAAAGACTGACCCAGGAAGAAAGAGAAAATCTGAACAGACAAACTACCAGCAATGAAATTGAATTGGTAATCAAAAAACTCCCCCCAAACAAAACTCCATAGCCAGATGACTTCACAGCCGAATTCTACCAAATATTTAAAGAAAAGCTAATACCTGTTCTTCTTAAAGAATTGCAAATAGTGGAAGAGGAAGGAATACTTTGAAACGCATCCTATGAGATCAGCATCATTTTAATACCAAAACAAGACAAAGACAACACAATAAAAGAAAATTAAAGACCAATATCCCTGATGAACATACATGCAAAAATCCTCAAAAAAATTGGAAAACCAAATTCAAAAATACATTAAAAAAATCACCCATCATAACCAAGTTGGATTTATTCCAGTGATGCAGGGATGGTACAATATATGTAAATCAATCAATATCATACACCATGTTAACAAAAAGGATAAAAACCACACAATCATCTAAATAGATGCTGAAAAACACGTGAATAAAATGCAACATCCATTCGTGATAAAAGCTCTTAACAAAATGGGTATAGAAGGTATGTACTTCAACATAATAACGCCCAACTATGAAAAACCCATAACCAACATCGTACTTAATAGCAAAAAGCTGAAAGCTTTTCCTCTAAGATTGGGAACAAGACAAGGATGCTCACTCTCACCACTCTTATTCAACATAGCACTGGAGGTCCTACTCACGACAATCAGATAAGATAAAGAGATAAAAGGCATCCAAACTGGTAAGGAAGAAGTTAAACTGTCACTATTTGCAGATGACATGACATTATAGATAGATAACCCTGAAGAATCCACTAAAAACTATTAGAACTAATAATTGAATTCAGCAAAGTTGCAGGATACAAAATTAATACACAGAAATCTGTTGCATTCCTGTATACTAACAACAAACTGGCAGAAAGAGAAATTAGGACAACTTCATTTACAATTGCATCAAAAAGAATAACATACCTAGGAATAAACCTAACCAAGGAGGTGAAAGAGGTATACTTTGAAAACTACAAGTCTCTCATTAGAGAAATTAAAGAAGACACCAAAAAGTGGAAATCTATCCTGTGCTCATACATAGGAAGAATTAATATTATCAAAATGACCATCCTGTCCAAAGCAATCTAAAGATTCAATTCAATCCCTATCAGAATACCAACAGCATTCTTCAATGAACTAAAACAAATAGTTCAAAAAAAATCGTATGGAACCGCAAAAGACCCTGAATAGCCAAAGCAATCCTGAGAAAGAAGAACAAAGCTGAGGTATTACGCTCCCTGACTTCAAGCTTCACTACAAAGCTACAGTAATCAAAACAATTTGGTACTGGCACAAGAACAGACCCATAGATCAATAGAACAGAACAGAGAGCCCAGATATAAATCCACATGTCTATCATCAATTAATATATGATAAAGGAGTCATGAATATATAATGGGGAGAAGACAGTCTCTTCAACAACTGGTTTTGGGAAAACTGGACACTTACATGTAAGAGAATGAAACTGGATTACTGTCTAACTCCATACACAAAAATAAACTCAAAATGTATCAAAGATCTGATTATAAGTCATGAAACCATAAAACTCTTAGAAGAACACATAGGCAAAAGTCTCTTGAATATAAACATGAGCAACTTCTTCCTGAACACATCTCCTTGGGCATGGGAAACAAAAAATGAACAAGTGGGACTGCATCAAACTAAAAAGCTTCTGAACAGCAAAGTACACTATCAGCAGAACAAAAGGGCATCCTACATTATAGGAGAATATATTCATAAATGACTCATGTGGTAAGAGGTTAACATCCAAAATATATAAAGAACTCATATGTCTCCAAACCCAAAGAACAAATAACCTGATCAAAAAATGGGCAGAGGACCTGAAAGACAATTCTCCAAAGAAGAAAACAAATGGCCAACAGACACATGAAAAGATGCTCCACATCACTAATCATCAGGAAAATGCAAATTAAAACTACAATAACATATCTCCTCACACCAGTCCACTATCCAAAATACAAAAAACAACAAATGCTGGCGAGGATGCAGAGAAATTAGAACCCTCCTACATTGTTGGTGGGACTGTAAATTGGTGCAGCTGCTGTGGAAAGCAGTATGGAGGTTCCTCAAAAATCTAAAAATAGAAATACCATTTCACCCAGTAATTCCAATCCTAGGAATTTACCCAAAGAAAACAAAATCCCTGATTCAAAAGATATACGCACTCTTATGTTTATTGCCACACTATTTTCAATAGCCAAGATATGGAGGCAACCTAACTGTCCATCAAGAGGTGAATGGATAAAGAAGATGTAGTACATATACACAATGGAATGTTATTCTGCTATAAGAAGAAAAGAAATGCTCCCATTTGCAACAACATGGATGGATCTAGAGGGTTTTATGGTCAGTGAAATAAGTCAGGTGGAGAAAGACAAATACCATTTGATTTCATTTATTTGTGAAATATAAAAACAAAGTAAAACAGAAGGAACAAAACATCAGTAGACTCATAGGCACGAGAGGTGATAGTGGTTACCAAGGGGACAGGATTGGTGCAGGTGCAGGGAGGGGTGGAGGAAGAGGACAAAGGGCACAATAATTCCCAATCACAAAATAAGTGGATTACAGGAACTGTTGAACCACTGTCATGTACATTTGAAATCAACATAAGAGTGAATATTAATGATACTTTAATAAAAAAATCAAAGATATATGATGCTAAAAGTAGTTTTTAGACGTTTGTATCCTTAATGTGTCTTGTCTACTCGCTTCTGTTCTTGGCTGGCTCCATTAACTCGTTCTCATATGCTTGATTACATGTGGCAGATCCCCATGAAATTAAGCAGAGACTTATTCAACCACAAAAGCCTATTGTTCTAAAGGTTGAGTTGAGAGATGGAACCTTGAGTGGCGCCTGACTTTCCCTAAAGATTCCACTTTGTTCTTCAGGGAAGCTGGATCCCATAACACCAGAGACCTCAGCTGACTGAATAAAACCCGAGGATGAAGAGGCTGTTAATGTAGTGCACGTGATGAGTAGGGCTTCCGAATGTTCATTTCACTTTCCGGTGTCCCAGTGGAGTATTACATATCCTGGTAACATGCAGGAGGACACTAATGAGCGCCAGCTTACCTGGTTCTCTGGACTCTCTCTGTCCACCTCAAGTGAGCACCTTATGCTCCTCCTGAGCTCTGATCAAGAATGAAATTTCTCAACGATTTCATCAAACAACTCCAATGAAAACAAGATTCATTGCAGTGACGATTATATCACATTTTATTTGGAATTTCTATATTAGGTATTACATTGATCAAGTCAATAAACATCTCTTTATACAAAGTATTATCTGATGCCTTTGTGTGCATTAGGGGGAATCTATAAACTGAACATAGAGATCCAGTGACTAAATGTTCTTGATCTTCCCAATCACTGGGTGGGGGTCCTGTCTCAGAAATCCAACGTTATATTAATAGATAAGAGTTCATCCACCATGACTTTGCCCATTGCTTAGTAAGTATATTCATACTTTAATCCTACCAAGTAATTCGTTGGTCAATTCATTGAGCAGAAAGGCGAACAGCATGCGACAGTTTCAGCTGGTATCAGGAGCTCATTGTTCCCCTTTGCCTCCCCTCTGCACCCTTCTTCCTCCTGCGCCCTTTTGTCCCTTCCCTTCCCTTCCCTCCCCTACTCTCCCTCCCTTGTCCTTCCCTCCTGGATAATCAGCCCATGGAGCAAACAGGGAGCGCTGAGTACCTGTCAGCTATTATTTTCATAGACTTATTCTCCCCAGACCTCAGGAGGCCAGTACTGGTTTTGAAGTTGGGCTCCGGTGTTGCCAGCTGCAGGTTCATCTGCCATGTTGGAAAATAACTGCAAACACCTTTCACAGAGGTTTCAGCATGAAATCACTGGGGTCACAGCTGATGCTGATCAAGCCTTTCCCCAAGCACTGTGAACATCCCCCTTCCAGGAGGGCCCTTGTCACCCGCGGAGCAGGGACAGCCTCGGGGGATGCGCTGCAGGGCCTGAGGGACAGGCTCCCACCGCACTCACGGGGCCTCTCTCCAGCCCTCCCTCGGAATCACTTGCTGGTCCCAGAGTTCTGACAAGACTCTGTCGTGGTGTGCAGGCTGCGTGGTGCCCGGGATACATGAAAAGCTAGGCTGAGACAGGTTTCCCTCTTCAAGGGTCAAAGATAGGCGGGACTAGGGAAATGCCGAGCCAAAGTTGGTTAGTTCAGGGATTCACTGCCTCTCCTGTGACAGACTGGCTGAGAATTCTGCAGAGTGGCAACTGGCCGTGGGGCAGGAGGGCCTCAGCTGTGTCTGAATTTCCACATTCACTTCTGGCCAAGATTCATCCTCTCCATCAAAACTCATTTGAAGATATAGAAACTCCTTGAACATGTTGTACTATAAACATGTATATGTGTATATATGATTTTATCTATCATCTCTCTGCCTATATCTGTCAATCATAGTCTATCATCTATTCACCTATCCATTTATATAATCCATCTATATCTATGATCTATCTATGATCTATGTATCTATGTATCTATGTATCTATCTATCTATCTATCTATCTATCTATCTATCTATCTATCAATCAATCAATCATCATCAAAGGTCCACTCCCCTACTCCAGTGACTTACAAGTGGCTTATATCATTGTGCCCTGGGACTTTTTGTGTGATGCCATAAGAACTGGCACTTTTAATGCCAGTTTTCTTAAACACACACAATTAAAGATTAATTAATTGCTCTGCTTCCAGAGTGATGTGACCTCAGGTGGCCATAACAAAGTACCACAAACTGGACGGCTTAAACAGCAAAACTTGATCCTCTCACTGTTATGGAGGCACGCATCCAAGTTCAAGGTGTGGCAGGATGGTTCCTACTGGAGGCTCAGAGGGAGAATCTGCTCCAGGCCTCTTCCAGCTTCTGGGGGCTGCCTCTCTCCTTGGCGCTCCTTGGCTAGTGGCCATGTCAAACCTAACCTCTGCCTCCATCCTCACAAACTGCCTTTTCTGTCTGTGTGTCTCCTTGTCTCTTCCTGTGAGGACACCAATCACTGAGTTAGGACCACACCCACACACTCCAGTGTGACCTCATTTTAACTAAGTACACCTTCAAAGGCCATTTCCAAATAAGGCCACATGTTAAGGCTGCTGGTGATGGAGACTGGGGAGAACCACTGGTCAACCTGCACAGAAGGGCATCTGGAAGCCCACCTCTTTCCTGTACAGATGTGAAATAGTCCTCCCACCTCCCAACTCAGGTGCCTGGGACACTTGGTTTTGTGGCCAGTGGGCTCTGGGGTGTGCTTCTGCTTGCTTCTCACCTCCCCAGAGCTGCAGCTTCAGCGTCAGCTTTCTCTGTCCTGCCAAGGCAACCTTTCATGTCAGACATGTTGTGGTCACAGCAATGGATCCAGGGGCCAGACCACCTGGGTTGACATCCTGGCTCTGTGGCTATATGATTTTTGCCCAGATGATTTACCCTCTCTGTCCCTCTTTAAGGGGGCTGATAATAAGAGTACCTCTTTCACAGGGTCATTCTGAGGACTAAGGAGAGTGCTTAGAAAGGTACCTGGCACAAAGTGCTCGTTGTGACTCTTGGCTATGTCTACTTGTTAGATCCTAAAGTTTGGTGGCTCGTCTCAGCTCTGGTTGTCCTTGTCCCTGTGAATTTATGCCTCTTGAAAGCTTTTTACTGCATTTTACTAGGGCTTCAGGAAGCATTATCAGTGAATACATGTGTTAAACCCACCACATTAAAGATTCTGAGAGGAATCTTAAAGATGAGGATGCAATCAGGAGAGAGTACATCATGAGATCAGCTTGTATGAAGGTGCAGAGGATGTTGAGGTACCTTGGGGTGTGCAGGGATCTCAAAGGCTCAAGTCTGACACAGGGTGGTGTCTTCAGAAGGCACTGGGAATGCAACTGGGGCATTCACTTGTCACCTGGATTAGGCACAGGCAGTGCCCAACTGTGGGGGAGGGCAAGTCAGGAGCACCCTGATTAGATGTGCGAAGGTCTTCCTCAGTAAAGTGATCAGACACAGGAGGCCATCATTGTCTGGGTCAGAGATGGTGAGGGTCAGACTAGGGCAGGGAATTGGGCAGTGAGAAGAGGTGGAAAGTTTGAAAGATACTTACACTCTTGAAAAATGTTGCTGGTTTTCTCTTCCCCATATTTTATAATGACAATCATCAAGTAAGAAATACTGAACTGAAAGATGGACACTGTAGAGTAAACTCTGTTTTGCCTTACTTATTTTATTGCCTAGCTATCCACCCTTTACCCATCCCTCAACCATTCTATTTTTGACTCCTTAGGTATAAGTTGTAGAATGAGAACACTTTGCCCCTAAACACTGCAGCATGTGGGACCTTAACTAGAAGAACTGGTGAAATTAACCTAATGATCCTGACTTCATTTAAAATGTTGATATTTTGTTCCTCATAGATTAAAAAAATTTTTATTTAAAAATTCTGTGTTACAACATAATTCATCTTCATTACTGAGATTTTGGCAATTGGTACTCCACTGCAATGCCTCACTCTCCTCACCCTAGTCCCACCCCTGCCTGGAAATCTTGACTGAATCTTATAAATATACTGCATCTGTAAGAGGGAATAAGCTCTCCCTACTACTCTTTGTGGTTTTGTTGTAATTTGCCTTTTCTCTGCCCACAAGGAGCTCAGCTTTGGAAATTGCCTAGAGACAAATTATGCCCCAGGATAGGAGGAGGACCACAGGAGGGATTTCAGCTAGGGGGGCTTTAATATTGCCCATGAAAATTTCATTAAAAGCACCTTGAAAATAAAGGCAGAGATTTATTTGACTCAGAATTTGGACTTAGACCTGAGAAGATGTAACTTTTATAGGTGGGGCAAGAGATATTTTAAAAAGATCCAAGTCATATAGAGGTTTTATATCCAAGAGGGGACAGGCAAGAGAGAGAGAAGTTCAAAGAGGTTCATGTTAGGCTGGAGAAAGGAAAAACAAGGACACGCAAACAGAACAGAGAGATGCCATAGGGGGAGAACAGACCAGACCCCAAAGTCTGTGCCGTATATGGAAAGGGGACAGCTCTCCCTGAATTCCATCCTGATGTGCCAGCTGGGACCCGGATATCAGCCTCCTCCCTCTTGGAAGGAAAAAAAGTTTCTAGTTGTCTATTATGTCACCTTTAGCCAATCATAGCTCTCAACACCCACCTAAGATAGTTTGCCCACTCCTCCCCCTCCTAATCCCT